AAAAAAAAAAAAAAAAAAAAAAAGAAAATATTGTGCAATTATCACTGTGTTATTACTTGTAACTTTTTATTTTGAAAATTAAATATAATTAAAGGAAAGTGCTCTATTTTTATTTTTATTGGCATAGTTTAGGGTTGCAGAGGAGTCAGTGTCTTAATAAAATTAATCAGTGTTCAACTGATACAATGGTTTAATGCCTTCAGCTGCCAAAACTGAACATTGTTACTATTTCTATTCACTTTTGAGAAAGCAGCACTTGATCAGTAATCACTCTTATTTCAAATGGAGCTTAATGAGTACATAAGCAATCTTTGCATGCAAGGCCAGGAAATTCCATCTCTCAATAGCAATATGAGTGCATAATATCAAACACAGGCTTCCATGTTTGTCTTCTTTTTTGGACTGGAATAGAACAAATTGGCGCAAATCTTTCCACTCACTTATTTAGAAATAATGGTCCAAATTTGAAAGTAGTGTGTACTTTATATTTTCTATATTCTGGTTGGCTATGCATTTGAAACAAAAGCTATTTGACATTTCTTCCCTTTTCTCTTGAGTAGCCCATACTTCATTGCTAAAGTTGCTGTTGAACTTCTTAATGTTTATCCTCTCTTGTCTTGCTTTTATTAATTTCTCAGTGGCTTTGCTGTAGAGTTATCTCTCTGAAAGAAAAAGATATATGTATATACACACACAGGATGGCTAAGGTAATTGTAACACTAATTTCTATTGCTTTATTGAAGGGAACAGTTAATGTTTGTTTGTTTAGTCTTGCATGCCTATATCTGGTAATCTGAGCAACTACTTTGATGATAACAATAAGTAATACAACAACCGTTGTTGATTCATATCATCTTATTTTGAAATTCTGTATCATTTTTATAATTTCTGTTTTATAGTGCCGTTTTGTTTTTGTCTTTTTTCTTTAAAATAAAAAAATTTATCTCTCTGAAACGTCTCTTCTCTAAAGAACCTCCTATGATGTCTGTATTTATAGCAAAGCAATTTGCCAACATATATTGAAACATTAACTATATCCACGTGCTTTCTCTCATGGTCAGTTCCAAGAATGAATTCTTTTGTAATGTTATCAATACACAACAATCTGAAAAACATATATTTATGATGACTTAAATTACAGGACAGTTTTATTTATAAATTGAATACAGAAAATGAATAATAGTAAATCCTATCACCATTAATCCTTAAGGTATAAAGTTTGTGTTAGTCATTTATCTATTATTATAACAAAATAACTAAGGCTGGGTAATATTCAAAGAATAAAGTTTGATTTAGCTCACCGTTCTGGAAATCGAAAGGCATTGTGTCTACATTGGCTCAGTTCTGTTGCTGGCTCTTGAAACCAAATAAAAATCCTACATAAACCACCTAACCACACTCACTTCCAATCTTTCGCTTCTAGTTGACTTCAAAAATCACTAATTTTGCAGCTCCTGGAAATAAGTGGCATGTTATTAGTCTCTCAGTGGCTTTGCTGTAGATGACACCTCTCCTTGTAGGTTATAATGATGAGTTGTCCAGAACACTTGTCAAGCTTTGAAGAGGACAAATTAGTCATTGAAAGAATGTTTGTCACAACTAGCAGCACAGGTTTGATGTATCTGAAACTTTCCTAATCCTTCTTTTCTCACTTTAGAGTTTATGACAATGGGGTGACAATAACTAAGACAGTTCTAAGGTTTGTAGGGATATCATGACTATACGGCAAATCAATAGATAACCAGTTACCAGACTGAAAGACATCCATTCCAGACCATCAGAGAGATACCTATAACTCTTCAGGTCTCAGTCATTTCCTCAGCTAACTTAAATCTCACCTGTTTCTCACTTGCTTAAGGATAAAATGAAGCTGAAAAGTTGTAGTAAGATGGTCTTTCAGGACTTAGCACACCGCCTTCTCAGTTTTGGAGCTTCCTGAATGACTTGCTTTTCTTGCCTTAATAATGTGGCTTCTGTTTGCTGAACCTTTGTAAGCAAGTAGATTCTGATTTATTAATGATTTTTTGGCTACATCACATCATGGAAGAGAGTATCATGGTGGGAATATGTGTAAGAGAAGGAGATCATACGGAAAGACGTTAGACCAGACAGGGATGGTCTTTTATGAGAACTCACTTCCTTGGAAACAAAACATGATTCTGTGAGACTTTCGTAATCCTAAAACATTTAGCTATAGTGCTCCCATGGCCCAAAAATCTACCAAAAGTTCCATCTCTGAGCTCATGAGGCTTTGAGGAGATAGTCTAGATTCAAAGCATAATACCCCCACCCCTGCCACAAAGGACTCATGTGTCTCTCTTTACACAAAATGCATTCAGTTAGTCTCTAAGAGTCACCGAGTTTTAACAGTCTCAGCATTGCTGAAAAGTCCATGTCCACAGTTTCCTCTGAGACTCAAGGAAAACTTAGCAGTGAGCTCGTGTAAAAATCAAAAAGAAAGTTAAACACTGCTGATATCCAAAAGCATAGGAAAAACAGTGCCGTTCCAAAAGGGAGAAGTAGGGGGATAGAAAGGAACAGGACCAAATCAAGACCTAAATCTAGCAGAACATTCATTAAATCATGTAGCTCGGAGACGAGAGATTAGGGCCTAGCTAGCCAGCTGTGCAAGTGGGCACGATCTGTCAATCATGGAGACCCAAAAACATGTGCAGAAAAACAGTTCCCAAGCCCTGCCCTTGAAGCAATTGGTAACTGCTATCTTCAGTTCTTCTGGCATGAAATCAAGCCATTTTTTGATATGATTGTCTAGATCACAGGGGTAAAAAGGGATGAGGAGTAAAGCAGACACTGGCCACTAAACTCATAGCCACTGTGAGTTTTCTCTTCTTTTCCTACTTACATTGGTCTGCAATCACCCTGTAGAGCATACTGTTTTCCTCCATTTCATAAATGTAAAACCTTACTACCTTTTATCATATGTCTGCTTCCAATTCTTTGCTCAGCTCTCCAATAACCTGGAAAGAGCCTGAGAAGAGAATACTAAATCCTAGAACATAGTCACAGCTCCATGTCTAGAACCGAGGGAAATTTGTGGCAAGATGTGTACTTTAAGGGGCTCGGGCACACCCACTACTATGACATTGCTGGTGGCAGCCATCATGGCCTCCCACTTGGGGTGATTTTGTTCACTACCTGTGGCTTTGCTAAGATGTTGTACATTCCTAGTCTTTCCATTTTCCTGGGGTTTCCACTACATTTTCAGCTTTGATCTCCTAGCTTTACTCATTGCCCTTTTAGGTGCACACGGCCTAGCCTCTTGGTCCTTCCTTTAAAATGTGTGTGGAAGCATCCTTGGCCCCATAACTCTTGACTTGCATATGCCTATAAAACAAACACCACATTCATGATGTCAAGTGGACCCACCTTCCTTTCTGGAGAAATTGAAACATCTCAAATGAACTTTTTGTTCCTAATTCTCACTGTAAATCTCACCAAAAACAATAAAAACTATCATGTTATAGCCTCAGTGCAGTGTTTCCTCGAAATATCCTCTGCCAGATTATTCTATTGCCCTTAGCCTCAGTCTCTGGCAAAATCTCAGAACACGAACAAAATATATACATAGCACACATGGTCTTAACCCAGCTTCCTTGCTTACACCCGTAAACTTCTGAGCCTGGCTTTTATTGTGTGCACTTCTACGAGCATTTTTTTTCCTCTGAGCTCTGATTGAAATCTACCACTGAGCATGGCTTACAGCAGTCTAAGTGTTCTCTACTTGGTGTCTCCAAAGTTTTCCAAGCTTCCTGCACAAGTCAGTTCCAAAGGCTTCTAAACCACATAGGTAGAGTCACAGCAATAATCCAACTTCTGTGGTACCAAAATGCATCTTGATCACTTCCTTCATCCCTAAGACACAATACCTGACATCAACAGTCTATTGTGACTCACAGTTTTAGAAGTTCCAGCATGGCAGAAAGGGACAAATGCAAAAATGACATAGCAGGAAGAACTGCTCTGGAGGGGAACTTGGTACAACATGGCATCTGAGAAGCACAAACTGAAATGAGGAACTAGGCTGGATAATATACCCTTCAATCCATTCACCAAGAGACCCTGCAGCCAGACTGCACCTTCTAACAGACTCAAATCACAAAACTTGGGGAACAAGCCCCATTCAAAACCTGAAAATTTGCACATTTATTACATGCAGTATTGTGTTTCAAAGTTTGTTATTTAATAGCCAAACTTAAATCGGGGAAAAAAGCAGAAGAGATATAGGAAGGTCTAAATTAGAAATGAATAAGCTATGGAAATATATGAATATTGAAAAGCAATAAATAAAATGAGTTTATAAATTCATGTAATGTTGAAAATGTAATAGTTACCTATTAATTTTTTAAATCAATAAGTGATTTGATTTTTTTCAATAAATTTTCCAAAGTTGGAATTGTATGGGCATTTAAATCACTCCTGCTTTTCTCATAAAAGTTTTATGAAGATGAAAGTAACAGGTGAATTTCGAGTTCTCCGACTGCAACAACATACTATAACTGCATAATTGCATCCCACTATTTTCCTTTATTGATGTACCACTCTCTCTTTCTCTCTGTTTATTTTCTGGTACCAGAAAATTGAACTCAGGACATCGCACTTGCCAGGCATGCACTGTGCTGCTAGGCCATATCTCCAGCTCCCTCTCTCCTTTTTTTTGGTACTGGGAATCGAACTCAGGACCTTGCACTTTTCCAGCAACCACTGAGTTATATCTCCAGCCCCCCTCCCTATTTTAATACTGGGTTGATTTAAAATGATCCTTGTTATGACTTCAATTTATTCCTAAACTCGGGTTGGGGTTCCTCAACAATGTCACTTATAGATTCTTGACAGCAGGTTGATTTAAGAAAAACACATAAAATAGAAATGCAGGTACAGAATAATATCAGATACACCTGAAATTCAGATTCTGGAACACCATAAAGCTCCCTTGATTTAAATTTCTCCATGCTTCTTCAAATATATGCTGAGCCTTAAATATATATTGAACTCAGCGAGAAGAGGTAACTTCATTCATTACCACAATATATCCATTTCATCTACTTTTTTTTTTAAGTACCAGGAATCCAAATCAGGACCCTGTGCTTGCTATGCAGGCACTTTTGCCACTGAGCTATATCCCTGGACCTTTTCCACCTACTTTTATCAGTGTGCTTTTTGTTTGTTTTTAAATCTATGCTTTGTAAAACATGAGCTATGATGTACTACTTAATATCATTTAAAAACTAGAGATAACTATTTTCTTATGATATCCTACTTTTCTCCTAGTATAGCAATGATTCCACTCTATTGTAATATTTATTTTTTGTTTGCTTCACTAGACATGTAGTTATTTACAAGTATAATGCTGGGAAGCAAGCCTATGCTTCATAAGAATCTTGTGAATAGAGGAAATAGTCTTGTGTTAATGGGGAGCACATCCTGAGGTGAGTTTGCTATTGCAACCATCTCTACACTTTATTGATTTAGGATCTACAGAGGAATAAGAAAAAGCTGCCCACATAGTCCTGTATATACTCAGCAGTGATTCCTCCAACTGAAAATGACTGTAAGTAAAATTTTGAAATAAATATAGAAATCAGTTAGGTAAAAGGAAAGAAGAGAGCTTTGGAAGATATTGCAAACAAAGATAAAAAACAAATAACATGGTGGTGGAGGAAAGATTGACAGTCCAGGATCACTGTGTACCTCAATGTGACCATAACATGGAAGCTACATTGGAATAGCAAGAAAGGGCAGGGAGCACAGGTGAGGATGAGCAAAGGAATACAAGGGCTTTGAAGAAGCCAAAGAGATATATGTTCATCTCCTCTTCACCTAGAGAAGGAAGGCATATCCTACACTCTAGAAACTTGCTTCAGAAACCCCCACTCCTGGGCCTTTCTCTCCCAGATCTGGATTCGGTAAGCAAGAAAAGTAGCACAAGTTTACCTGGTGATTCTGATTCAAATTGTTCATGGATTAAGCACTGCCTAAGATTTTTTTTAAAAAAAGTATTAATATCACCTAGTTTCACTCTCTGAATATTTCTTAAATATGCCCTCTTTATATGTATATATAGTCACTATTAGTCCTTTCATTAATCTGATAAAATTATGTGTGTTTTTAATATATTACAAGGGCTATGCATTAAATTTCTTTTGCAGTTCTCTCTCATTTATGCAGTTCCTCTTATACAGAGGATGCTCTTTCTTACTGAGTTTCCTATAAGGAAAGCATGACTTCTTTTTTCTTTTCCCTTGCTCACCGCCCTTTGACTTATCTAAGCTTTAAAGTTTCAATTGAACTGGACTCAAATGCTATCTCTGCAAATAGCCTGACCTTGCCAATCACTCCTCCTTCTTCTGGATAATACGTGGCACCTTCTCACATCTCCGTACATTCTGCCTTTGACAATCTCACCAGGGGTTTTCTTTGGACTTTGTGCCCCAACCCAGAAGGTTCCCATTCTGTACTTCTTGCATTTCCCAGGGTGAAACGCTCTTACTTACCTGACTATATTAAGACTGAAATGATCTCCTCTTGAGGCGACACATTGATGGCATGACATTAAAATGAATACTGATGTCAAAGGCAAGACTTCAAAAACGCAGTCCAATCGGCAGACTTCCTTGACAATGCAGGTGACTGAATCAAAACAAGGTTAAAACTCACACTTCTATTCTGAAAGCTGTAACTATCCTTAACAAACATATTAAGGTATGCCACGTAATGAAGTATTGAATTTTAAATTGGTGGCACATGTGAAGAATTTTGTTTACTTGTATTTTTTACCCAATGCAAAATTTTTTATGCAACTCCTAAGAAGGAAAAGAAAGTGAAAAAGGAAGGAAATTAGTATTTTTTGTTTTGTTTTTTTTTTTTCCGGTACCGGGAATCACACTCATGACCTTGCTCTTGCCAGGCAGGCGCTGTGCCACTGAGCTAAATCCCCATCCCCTGAAATAAGTATTTAATACTTATTTCTATAAATGAAATATTATGACTCATTGGAATAATCTCTTTGGGAAGATTACCTCTTCTTTTACTGTGCTATACTGACTTACTGAGTTAATTCTTGAGTGTTCTTTCAGAAATGTACATTAAGGGGCTGGGGATTTAGCTCAGCGGCAAAAGCGCCTGCCTGGCAAGCACAAAGTCGTGAGTTCGGTTCCCAGCACCGGAGAAAAAAAAAAAGAAATGTATGTTAAATAAATGAATTAAAATGCTGAAAGTAAGCTATATAAATGGAAAATTTACATGCTTGGTTTATATGAACTCTTCAAATGCAATAACTATTTTACTATAACTAAGACTATAACAATGATAGTTATATAATACATTTATGTAATTTAATCTAAATATATAATACTACTTCTACTTGAACTTCTTGTAGTAATGATTGCTATTTTTTTGAAAAATAAATCCAAAGTAGTCTATAGCACCTGAGAAAAACTAGAGAGGAATATATGAGAAGGATTGAATATATTACATCAACATAAACAAAACATTTCACATCATGTAAGCTATATACAATTTGCATTATAAGCCATGGAAACAAATGGACTATGCAAATATGTGTTAAACATGGAAATATAAAAAGAGAAATTTATAAGAAATATCACTTGCAGTGATGAAGAGGAAGGACAAATGGGGAATAGGATAATCAGGACTGCAGGGAAGCTTATGATAGGCTAACTAAGAGATAATGAAAACTGAATCAAAGCAGAGGGAGAAACAAATTTTATTCTTTGAATTTCAATTGCTCGATACTGTTTCCTTAAAATTTAATAATAAAGATTTCTCATCCAAGTGTTTATGTAATCACTGATGGAATATAAGAGAAAGATTTGCAGATATTTCTGAAATAGATATTCTCTAAGTGTTACACTAAATTCCTAGTCCACGACCAGATACAGCATATATTGAGCTGAGTTGAAGTAATCATATCTTTTAGATAGAAAAATTCATTCATCTTCTTGATGGTAAGACTGCAATCACTTTGTAAATAGAATTTGGAATTTTGTATAAATTCTAGGCAAAAATAAATTATATTCCTTCTTCTTCAGCAACACAAGTTGCTGAAATTCAAATCCATAAAATAAAAAAAGAATCTTAGTGATCAAGAAACAACTTTGGAGAGAACACCAGGTCAAAATTTCCCTTCCCTATATGGTTCTATCAGGACCTAAGAAACAGAGATATATCTCCTCTCCTTGAAGGTCTTCAAGGATACAAAGGTGAAATACTGATTACATTTGCATATAATGATGGCTATGTTATATTGAGCCAAAATATGATTTCTTTAAATTAACCTCCTTCTTTTTATTTCCTCTCTTCTACCAGTGGGCCACGCTTCTTATTCTTACTTTCTAAAATGTGTAAATGGCAATAATTTCTGGAGCTTTTGCCAGACACACTTGCCATCCTCTGTTTGTATTCCAGGTTGCAAATGAAATTTTGACACTTGCAGATATTCCAATTTGAACTTCCACAACCCCTTTGGTATAGAGCATTTGTTTTATTTTTGTCTTTCTGAGCAAGGTCTTGCTGTGCAGTACAGGCTGGTCTTGAGCTCACTTTGTAGCCCAGGCTGGTCTCGAATTCACAACAATCCTCCTGCCTCAGCCTCCCAAGTGCTGGGGTTACAGGCTTGTGTCACCACACCTGGTACTGGTATAGAGCATTTTGAATACATAAACCCTCTTATAATTACTCCTTATTAAATCTTTCAGTAATACTTTCACAAAGGCAGACAAAAATGTTTCAGAAGCTTGAAATCACCTTCCCACTCTGGCTATACTCTCCTTTCTTTTCTGCCTGATTTTGTAGCATCTTGCCTGGCCATGCCACGTGGCCGCTTCATCTATAGGCTTCACATGTATAAAGCTCTCTTCCTACACAGCATTTTGTCCCTACTCTTCCATCTCCTTCCAGTCATCTTTTCTTCTATTTTTATTTTGTGCTCTGGTTTGTTTTTTGTATTCCCTTCAAAGTGCGTGTTGAAACACGGTCCCCATTGTGTAGTCTAAAGAAGTAGAGTTTTTTTGACAATTAAATCAAGAGTTCTCTACTCTCGTAAATTGATTGCTGCCTTGAGGAAATCACTGAAGGGCTCTAGTTGAGGCCCTTTCTTGCCCTTTTGCTATATGAAAGCAAAACATCGAATTCCTAGGGACAGCATAGCCAATGATGAAGACAACATGTCTGGCTTCCAAGATGTGAAGCCTCATAGTACTGGTGGTGGATTTCCAAATCTCCAACACTGTAAGAAATAAATTTTTACTATTTATAATAAAGGTATTCTATTAGAGCAACAGAAATACACTAAAGCATGTTATCAATTCTACTTTTATTCGAGTCCAAATTTGATCAATGATTTCTATAGCACCACACTCTTCAAGCTATGATTACACTATTTTACAGTATTTTCTGTTCATCTTTTATACCTAATAGTTCTTAAAGGTCATTTAAAAATTATTTTAGTACATGAGTATATTTTTATTTCTCATGGTCATTACACATAATTCTCAAAGAGATTCTCTGAGGAATAATGTTTATTTGTGAATGGTATAGCATTACCAGAAGAATATCCATGCAAGCTGTAAGTTACAGGGTTCTCAAAACACTAGAAAATTTTAAAGACAAGAAAAAATTTATGTGAACTACTTAGATGCAAAGTTCATGGGTCCTGGAAATCCTAGGCAGGAACTGGCATTGGCTCATTGACAGAAAGATGCTTGTTAGGCAAATATTGTGTTCAGAGTATTCTGTCAAATTTGTCAGAGTATATAGTCTGAATTGTCCAGAGTATCTTGTCTAAGTCATTGAAGTCTTAAATATTAAAGATAAACTGTGGGGCTGGGGATTTAGCTCAGCGGCAAAAGCGCCTGCCTGGCAAGCGCAAGGTCATGAGTTCGGTTCCCGGTACCGGAGAAAAAAACAAAACAAAACAAAAAAAAGATAAACTGCTATGGAAATCTATGCATAAATAGAAGGTATATAAAGCATGTGCTATATAAAAAAGGCAAAGAAACCTCTTTTGGGCCTGCAGAAAGTCTTGAAAAAGTACTTAGGCAGGCATGAACCCTCCTCACTCATAGACTCTGAGTTTTAAACTCTCTCAAGCTTTCACAAAAAGCACCTTGGTCACGCGATGGCTATGATTCATCCAGATTTCTAACACTGACAGAAGTTTAAGAGATGCTGTACTTGGTTCCAAAATGATTCCTGAGGAGACCTAACTGATCTTGGTAGTAAGCAAAAGTTAAACTTTTCTTTGTAGAGGTCTCATTTTAACTTGGTCTAAAACATCCAGCAGAAAAGTGTAACCATAAGATGTAAAGAAACAATGCCACAGTAATAGGTTAACTGTAAAAAGTTTAAGTCATCAACAACCTCTGACAATTACCGGGTAGACATAACTGACCACTGTTATGGACTTTGGATAATATTCTTCAAGCACAGCTTTTCCAGTTTCAACTGAACACCCATTACTTCTGCAGCTAAGCAGAAAAGGGAGATATGTTGGGAGCCACTGGAGCTGGTTATTGGTCAAGCAGTCAAGCTACCTCAGTATTGAAAAAGGCATCCTGCCAGACAATTACAGTCCTTAGTCACTAGGCAACATTACCCCACCCACTGCCATGACACTAACTTTGCAAGTGTATAAAAAAATGCCCCTACTGTTGAAGTCAGTCCTCATGCTCATCAGGCAAGAGGTAACTCCACCTGACCCAGAAAAAAAAAAAAAAAAAAAAAAAAAAAAAACCTCACTGGTTCTACAAGAAAAATTTCCTCATGCTATCATCAACTTTTGTATCACCTACTGGGCAATTTTAGCTCTACAAATGTAAGAAATATGTGTATTGTGTCTATCAAAGTTATCTCTACAAGAAACACAATTCCAGACTCATAATTGGATGTTTTAACTATTTTTGATGCCAGGGATTGAAATCAGGACTTCGGTCATGCTAGGGAAGCACTGTACCACTGAGTTGCATTCTCAGCCTCCACAAGTATGGACTAAATTAAACGTTGTGAGTTAATATTTTGCCTCAAAGCATACTTACCTCTGGGGCAGCTTTCCTGTTTCTGGGGTAAAATATCTGATGTTTACAACTTAAAGAGAGGAAACTTGATTTAGCTCACTGTTTCAGATGGTTCACTCCATCGAGAGCTGGTTTTAAAGTAAAACATCATGGCGGAAGGGCATGGTGGAACAAACGTGCTCACTTCATTGCAGGTGGGAAGAGCAAATGAATAGCAATGGAGAGAGATATGCCTTCCAAATTGTTATGGTTGATACATTGTGTCAACCTGGAGAGTCTAGAGGTTTGGCTAAGTGACTCAGCAGGAAGCCAAGGTGCTTACTTTGTATACATCCTGAGCCTGTGGAAGAGGAGGGCATGGAGATTTTGTGAGAGCTACATGCCCCTTAGGTGGGGGTAGCCTTTTTACAATGTAAGGGAGGGAAAGAAGCTGCTTGATGCGATTCCTACCTTTTGCTCTGGCTGCTTTGCTGTTCCGCTGCCATTCCCCCCTTTGCTCTTGTTGCTTTTCTACCTTCTGCCTCAGAGCCAGCCAAGTATGGACTGAAACCTCTACAAACTCTAAGCTAGATAAACCTTTCCTTCCTTCATTTTGGGTGTTGGGTATTTTGTCTCAGCAAAGAGAGAAAAGAACCAAGACACAAATGTACATGCCCAAGTAGCCCCTCAGCTGGGGTCTACATTTTGACACATGATGACTATGACACCACCGTGTTCTAATCATCTCTCCAGGCATTCTTTAATCCGGTCAAGTTGACAATTAAGATTAAAGGCACAGGGGGGATAATATAATGCTTAAGACTTCAGGCTGAGAGTGAAATTTTACCAACCAAATAAAGTTGTGTAATTTTGAGAGAAGTTATTTAAACTTCAAATCTTTAGTCTCTTCTTATATAGAATAGGATTAATAATCATGTCTCTTTCCTGGTGTGCCAATTAGAAGAACTGAATGTAGATTGCTGAGCACAATTCTTAGCACAGTGGAGCCTGTGGCTAGTGATGATTATTTGCCTTACAGGAGTCTGATAAATATTAAGTACTTGCTAAAGGGCTGTTAGAATCAATGGATTCCAATTGCCACATACAGATGTCCAAGAAAAGCTGTTACATAGGGCTGTGAATATCCTTATTCAGTAGCATCCCCTTCCCAGAGATTATCTCTGCATCACCGTATTAGACAAGTAATTATTGAATAAGCCTCAGTTTCCTCAGTTTTTAGAAAACAAGTTAGAATGGAATTTTTCACCATCTCCTTCAGCACAGAAATATTGCGGGTCAAATACGCTTTGTAGACAAGACCTTAAATTCTGTTATATTATTTGAGGCACGTTTGGAGTACCTGCTAGTCTCACAGTTGCCCTAAGGCTCTGTTTATGCAGGCAAATTGAAGAGGAGACATGAGCCTATTATAGAGCAGAAGCTGGGAAAAGGGGACTCATTTGACCTGAACTGTCTCCATTGATACCCTTCCCAGGGTGATCGCTCAACTCTTCATCTGACAGTGTAGACAGAGCCTGAGGAAGGACTGAGGGCAAATACAGATTGAGATGGTGAAACTTGCAAAATACATGCTTACTGCAACTGTTTGATGATAAGGGCTTGTACGCTGCTCAAGAGCACCACATTTTGATGTAACGTGACTTAATTCAACTCCATTTAGCAGGCCGTATCTGCCGATGGCTTTGATGACACCATCCAAATGAAAGTTTTCAGGGAAATTGCAGGTTGGGGTACGGAATGCATGACTGTGTAAAGTATGTGGAGTGGCAAATTGTTTCTGTCTTGATGCCTGAAAAATGAAAATGAGTTTTTGAATGAACAAACTAGCTGTGGTATGGAATGAGAGGACCTAGTTCGGCAATGAAGACTGGACATTGTCACTGCATTCTCACATAAGCCACTTAAAACTCTCAAGCCACCTTGTGTCAGTTCTTCACTTATTCTGTCTACCTTATGTGTGCAGTTTTACACTGTTCGCTCTCTCTTTCTTATAATTTCTACTGTGTATTTTGTTTGGCTTGCTTTTAGTTTTGCTGTAGATGATTTCTTTTTCTACTTTAGTCTTTAAGTTACTACTACAGAGACAGCATTTCTCGATCCCTGGTCTACTCCTGTCATCTCTTTATCTTATTTCAAATTCTAATTATTTAGCTCCTCCCTCAAAATTTGATCACAATTATAATTTAAGATCATTCATATCTTTATATTCATGTCTTTACCCTTTTTCTTTTTAGTATAGAATCACTGTGAATATCGTTAGAACTGTTCCTTCCTAGTCAGGTCTCCACCCCTGGCAAAGCACAAAGCAGGCACAAGTACCTTCTTTGTTTCCAGAAGTACTGGGTGATACTATTATATGCAGGGATCACACTGATGAATACACGGATACTGTGAAATTGGGAGCTGGGCAAAAAGCTCCTTTAAATATGTCTTTTCCTAGTACCTGAAGAAGACGTTGAAAAAAACATCCCTCATGTTCTATCATGGAGGGACTGAGGACAAAAAAAATCCTCTGTTTTGTGAAGAGCTATTACTGGTGTGAAACAGATTCCTATAATTCCTTACTACAATTTTACAACCCACTTTGTTCACCAATATACAAACAATTGAAGCATCTAATCTGATCATTTTCTTCTGAATTTCAAAAATATAGAAAACCAGCCAGGGCTGGGGATGATGGCGCATGCCTGTAATCCCTGCACTTGGGAGCCTGCGACAGGAGGATCGTTGCAAATTTGAGACCAGCCTGGGCTACAAAGTGAGCTTAAGGCCAGCCTGAACTGCATAGCAAGACCCTATCTCAAACAGACAAAAAAAAAAAAAAAAAAAAAAAAAAAAAAAAAAAAAAAAAAACGCACAAAAATTAGAAAAATATTCTGGAACACATTCTAAACAGAAAATTAACAAATATGTCTCCTAATTTCTGTCCTGGCACCAAGTAGACTATTTCAATTGTTTATCATCTTTGGTGTCAAGGTGAAATGCATTGTATCATGTATTAACTGAGGGAAGGTTATAACAAAGACAGCATGTCTCTCTCAATTCTCCAAATTTCAAAATGCTTTGTAACACGTGCCATCAGACAGAGTAGGAAGAGCACATGGCATGCTTCTTCCTGACAGCGAAGGGGCCTGGGTGATTTTTAGAGGGAAAGGATTTTCTCCTGATGAGAGGTTACTCCTGGAAGTGCCAGCCCTCTGGGAAAGAGGGTTGAGGTCAAATCTCATCATGGGCAATATTTAAATCTGCTGTATTGCAGGGTGAGTGAGAGTGAGTAGCTTTCACCTTTGTGCACCTGTTTTCTTTGTGAGTTTGAAAGGTTCAATTGGTTTGTCACTTTCCTGCCTGTTTAATCAGGGTATCTTCCATGTCTTGGAAAAGGCAGGAAAATCACACTGTACTCTAATATGACCAGAAAGACAAGCTGCACATACCTGACTATTCAAAGCACTTACTAATGAGGCAAGATACAGGAGAAAATGTAAATTTGTTTATTCTTCATAGACCTGAAAATGACACATTAATGAAAATTAAATGAAAGAGATTTCCAAATGTAAAACCTAATGATTTTATGATTCAACCTACATTTCAATCAAAAACAGAAATCATTTAAACAAATGCTTGTCAATTTATTTTAAAA